CCCCCCCCCCCGAAAGGCTTTCCCATGCTTCAGTTTTCCATGCAACTAATGTTGCAGGATCAGACATGAGCTAAGGGAGTGATGGAGTGGTCTGTGCCCAACAGGCACTTACTCTACTTGCTTTTACAAACTTCACTTATGCTCCTATGTCATTTCTGTCTTGTGGATATGAAATCTTATGGTTTTCGGTTTTGCAGAACTCTCCACTTCCAGCTAAGCTCCCAGAACCAGTGAAAGCTAGTGAAGCTGCTGCAAAGAAGAGCCAGCCAAAGGCCAGGTAGGAACTTCCATGTTAAATATCTCTTGCCATCGGCATCTCTGGTTTGCAGTGGAGATGCTGTTCAACCTCAGTAATGCACGCTAGTAGAAAAGAGATGGAAGTTCCTGGGGAAACCCTCTGAGACGTCTTTTACAAAACAAAAACGCCTGTTAAACTGAAAGGCAGCAAATGCTGAGAGATGGAAGAATTCCTTTCCTGCTTGGATAAGATTGAGTATGAGTCAGCTGCAGGGCTGTCTGAAGTAACAGCACCATTTGAGTGTAGCAGCTTGAAGGCTGCATGCCAAAGATTTTACTCTGTGCTGTACTGTCCCTGCTAAGGGCCTTACCCTGAGCCTCATGAAGTCAGTGAAAAGGTTCCCATTGCCTTGGCCACATCAAGAAATGGGAGACTAACTAAGATGCACTGAAGCTTCTGTTTTGAGAAACCTCTTAGTTCTTGCCTGGAGAGCCTGACTTGTGTGTGGTAGGGTACAAAGGGAGTTGGAGGTCACATCCTTTGGACTTCTTTTGGACAGTTGTTTGCCTGTGACCACAGAGAATTGGACTAGATGATGTAGGGGACCTCTGATTGTCCTACATTCCTCTGACTTGAGTGGGCTTTAAAGCAAACCCACAGGAACTGCACTGGGACTGGTTTGATCCATGAGTTTTCCCCCCTTCCCTGCAAAACAGACTAGAGAACCTGCCCAAACCTTTGCTTCCAGCCTCCAATTTCTTTTTTTGGAAATATTAACTCCCTAGGACAGTACTTTCCAGCCTTTTCCTCATCATGACCACATTGCCTCAGCATGGCCCCTCACTCCAAACTACAGCCCCCTGCCCCTCCCAGCAGCACACGACCCCCAGGTGCTGCTTGCAGGAGACAGTGGCAGAGCATGGAGCCCAGCTCCCTCTCCCCCCTTCTCTTCCACCCCTTCCCCTGCATACGGTATGGCAACAGAGCCCATTGGGGAGGGAAGAGGCATGGATGCAGGCTTTCCCACCCCTCCCCTTGCGGGCCCCATGGCTGAGTGGGTGGGATCTGGTGCACGAGGGCTGCTGGGAGCTCCATACTGGCTGTGCCACCATGGTAAGGCACTGCCTGCCTGCCCGGCAGCAGTGGTGGCAGAGGAATGGAGTTGTGCCTCCCACTAACGGGCAGTCAGGGAGTGCTTCACCATGGTGGCATGTCTGTCATGGGGCTCCCAGCAGTGGCACTGGGCCTCTCTGCCCCATTGTGCTGTGGAGGCCCCTGGTGGGAGGGTAGCAGGGTGGGGAGACTCGAGCCTGCAGTGGGCAGCTCACATCTGCCCCCACCCTGCACACATCTGGGGGACACATGCTCCCCCATGCCTAACCTCCCTGGGAGTGCATGAAGCCCTCCCCACTACCCCTGGATAAGCTGCCTGTGGCTCTATCCTGCTCCCCAAGCCGGGCCCTGAATTTCCTCCCCAGCCCCAGGCCCAGCTGGGCAGTGTCCCCAGCTCTCCCCCACCACAGAGGCTGCAGTCTGCCCTCCCTCCCCCACCCCCTAGATTTACCTGGAGGGTGCTGCAGGAGCTGCTCTCCATGCTGCCTGGGTGCCACGTTCCTGGGTGCCAAGTGCACTTGTGGCCCCCTGCCTCATCACCCTCCTCCCAGGAACTCTGCCAGCCTGCAAGGGGGACCCGCCATTTCCTGCTGCTTTTCTCCTTTAAAGAAGAAAATCCATGTTTTTCTGCAGCAAACAGAAAACCTGGATCCCTGTATAATCTGTCAACCTTGAGTGTCTTTGTGACCCCATTTTTTTTTACTGTTGCATTCCCAAATGGGGTTTCAATTCCAAGGTTGGGAACTGCTGACCTAGGAGGACCTATTGTGCTCTTAGCTTATTGCTGGCATCCTTGCCCTTCTTCTCCCTACTGTTCTGTTACCCCTGCTTGCCGTATTATATTAACTCAGATTATAAACTCTTCAGGAACAGGAGCTTGGCACTCTCTTGCCTACTTCTAGGGACTGGATGTTCACAGACACCACAAAAATAATCATTCTCTTCAAAATCAGGAAGAGCATCCTTTGTAAAGATGACTAGCTGGTACCAACTAGCCCCAGATGTTTACTTTGTTTTGGCTTTTGTAACTGAGCTTCAGTCAACCTCCTACCAGTAAAATCACTTTGTATCTAGCTCAGCAAAGAAAAGTACAGAAGGGCATTAAGATGTCTTCTGCTTCTCCAGGCATGAGAATGCCCTGCTGGTTCCTGTTGTCATAGGATAGTAAATAGGAAGAAAAATTAGGGAAAAGCCCAAGGGCTGTGCAAAATGGCTATGTTTTGATTCTGTTTCAGATTTGGCCACTTCAGAGGAACAGTGATTTTGTTTTGGTGTTTCAGATCACTGTTCCATTTCGATTTGGCCAAATCTGTTTCGGAGTTTTGACGCTGTTTTGGTGATTTGGCTATAGGCTATAATAGGGAATCACTAAAATGTCTATGCCTTTGTCATTTCTTGCCTGACTCGGATGAAACTTGAATGGATGGTAGCCCCTTCTGAGGACATGAAGCGTGCCAAGTTTCAAGGAGATAGGTGCAGGGGTTTCTGTGAAACTGCGCCTCAAACTGTTCAAAGTAAAACTCATATAATTTGCCAGCAGTGGCAGCATGCTGTCATCCAGCACGCAGATCTGGGAGCCTGCGCCCCCTGGGAGGACTATGGAGCCAGACTCCTCCCCGAGGGGCGCAGGCCCCTGGATCCGCACACAGGATGACAACAGGCTGCCGTCCCTCCCCCAGGGCACTGGAGTTGGAAGGGACCTTGGGGACAGATCACAGACACTGGCCAGATGTCAATATCCGAGCAGTCCTTCCTCCCCTTCCCTCTTCTTAGTTTTTGTTCCCCTGCAAGCCCGGCTCTGAAACTCCCCAAATTTTCCAAAATGTTTCAGATGGTTTTGTTTAGTTTTGGAGATGTTTCAGAGCCTTCTGTTTCATTTTGGATTCAGTGTTTTGGGTGCCAAGATAGGCCAAAACACCTGTGAAATGAAACGGCTGCTAAAATTTTGCACAGCCCTACCAAGTACCTGCCACTTCAGTTGAAGCCAACTTAACATATTAGGAGTACTTCTTAGGATGCTAATCTAAACAATTTTGCTTAAGGACACCAGCTGCTATTAAACTAATTCGTTATGCCCTTCATCTGCTCTTCTGTAAATCTATAAAAAGTGCAGACTTAAATAGCATGATGTAGCCAATGTTTGAATGCATTAAGTGATTTTGACAAGTTCCAGCTGTCCAGCAGGAAGAAAAGCCATAATCATGTGAGAAGTCAAAATGAATGTGCTGGATTGATTTTTTTACAAGTGCATTTGTTCCAATTTTGCTCTGACTAGCAGTAGCCTGTGAAAGAATGACTTGGGCATTGGCTCCAATATCTGTTTCACCTTCGTTTATTCACTTGCCACATGAGCAATGTTGGCAGTTGTCAGCACCATGCCATGTGCCACATATGCTAACAATTGCTACGTTCTCATGGAGGGGTTCCATGATCCGGAGTGGGGCAAGTGATGGGGAGTTAGGACTTGTAGGTCCTGTTTTCGTCAGTGCCACTGATTGACCACGTCTACACGAGATGCTAACACCAGTTACCGCACAGTCATTTAGTACTTGGTTATGCAAGTACTAAATGACGGTGCAGTTGCAACTGCACAGTCAGCATCTTGTCTAGATGCAACCTCTGTCTTGTTGTCCTTGGACAAGTCTCACCTGCCTGCCTCAAATACCCTCCTCTTGAACAATGTAGTTAAGATATTTCCTGGTTCTAATAAAGCACGTTGATTTTTTTTCTGTTGATGAAAGTATGGGGTAGGGTACAATGTAATGGTAGGATGATAGTCCAGCCATTTCTGGCCTCTGAACTGGAGAGTTTTTGTCTGAAATTTTTGGGTCTGTTCAGTTTTTTTACCATCAGTTTCTTAGCCTTTTACATCCGGTTCATAAGAAGAACCTGAAGGACCTTGGATCTTGTTATGATCACCATTGCTTTGTGTGCATCAGGCCCCTATAACGCATCATATTTCCTGCCTTGCAAATCTGTAAACTGCATCCGTTCAAGCTGCCATCTTTTGAAGCACACTTCTTTTTATTTTTATCCTTTGTTTTTGATTCCCCTCTTCACAGGCTGACAGATCCTGTTCCTACAACAGAAACGTCCATTGCTCCACGCCAGAGACCCAAAGCTGGGCAGACGCAACCCAACCCTGGAATCCTACCCATCCAACCTGCCTTGACCCCTAGAAAGAGGCCTACAGCCCAGGCAGCCATTCAGCCACAAGGTGAGGTGACTGTAGCTGTTGTGTTGGGGGCCCCCATACAAAATGCACGGAACAGTGTTTAGAGCAAGCTTGACTCAGGCTTTCCACGTGTGCTCCAGCACTGAGGCTGAGGGCAAAGTCCCATAGGAGTGAATGTGGCCAGAAGAAATAGTTTTATGGAGACTGGATGGACTTCTAAAGAGATTAATCTAACAAATGGAGATAATAATTATTTTTTCCATCAAAGCCATTTGATTTAATGGTTTTATCACCAGCACTTTAAAATATATACATATTTTGCTGAATACTCTTCCTCCTGGTCTACCTTTTTCTGATTTCCATTTAAACTGAAAAACACATTGCTAATTTTTTTAGTAAAATGTATTCTTTAAAAAAAATCAAACTTCCCCCCCCTTTCATTTTGGTCAAATGAATTCTTTACAGGAAGCTTCCAAAACCAGGCATACCTTTCCCTAAATTTCCTGCAAAAAAATATAGGTAGACAAGGTTCCTTGGGTGAATCTGATATCTTTTATCAGACCAACCCAAATAGTTGGAGAATAGTTATTAAGCAAGCTTTCGGGTTCAAAAACCCTTCGTCAGGATAAGGAAGTTTCAGCAGTCGGTGTGTGCTCTTCCTGGATGGAATGACAAGTAAAGAAGCCAGCGGCTGGGCTGCTATGCATACAAGACAGGTAGTCAGTGAAAATGTAGAGTGAGGAGTCAATGGGTGAGGATTTTCCGTACAGGTTCAAGGGAACACTCCTCCAGAGAGAGAGAGAGAGAGCGCACGTTTGAAAGAGCCACCCAGATACCACGTGAAGAACTGCTGCAGTACACAAGAAAACCCCCCACAAATAGCACACCGCTGGTTATGACGTATCACCCCTCCCTTGAACCTGTACGAAAAATCCTCAAACAATTGCAACCCATACTAGAAAGAGACCCTATTCTTAAAAAGATCTTCCCAGAGGATCCAGACTGTGCCATGACAAGAAATGCAAAACCTGCCAACACATCTCCACCCCCCCCCACTATTACTACACCCCACAACAGAGCCATCAACATCCCAGGATCTTACAGCTGCACCTCCAGAAATGTAATATACCTCATCCAATGCACCAAATGCCCTGATGGAAAATACGTAGGAGAGACCAAACAACAACTGCACACCAGAATGAACGCACACCGGAAATCTATCAAAGACAGAAATGCCCAATTACCTGTGGGGGCACATTTCTCACAAGGAAACCACTCTCTCCAATCTCTCAGTCCTGATCCTCAAAGGAAACCTACAAAACACTTCCCAGAGACGAGCCTATGAACTCCACTTCATCAACCTCCTGGATACTAAAAATCATGGACTAAATATAGACATTGGATTTGACACATTTATGACCTGCCTGACATCTGACTCCCCAGGTATCTGTCCTCCTTCCCCCCCACCTGTCTCTCACCCATTGACTCCTCACTCTACATTTTCACTGACTACCTGTCTTGTATGCATACCAGCCCAGCCGCTGGCTTCTTTACTTGTCATTCCATCCAGGAAGAGCACACACCAACTGCTGAAGCTTCCTTAGCCTGACAAAGGGTTTTTGAACCCGAAAGCTTGCTTAATAACTATTCTCCAACTATTTGGGTTGGTCTGATAAAAGATATCAGATTCACCCAAGGAACCTTGTCTGCCTATGTCCTTAGACCAACACGGCTACAACCTACACCCCTGCAAAAAATATGGTACTGTTTGAACTCTTCTGTTTGTATTCTGTCCGATTTAGCCAGAATCTATATTTAAAGCAGCTGTATATTAAAGAGTATTGGAAGTTCAGTTTTTGAGACCCTTTCTGAAAGAGAGGGTCTATGTTAATGTGTGCCTGAACTCTCCTGGAACTCTACCAGGTTTTGGAGCCTCTGTACAGCCTGACCCTCTGGTATGATTTTTCCCCTTCCCAGTTGCAGGACCCGCTGCACTGAGCAGTGGCCAGCCCTCGCTTTCTGCAAGCATTGCACAGCCAAAAGCACCACCTCAGCCAGCTGCACCTCAGCCGAAGCAGGCCCCAGTTCCCCAACAGGCACCACCAGCCCAGCCCCAAGTCCCTTCCACGCCGCCGCAGGCCACACCACAGCACCAGCAGCAGCTCTTCTTGAAACAGCAGCTCCTGCAGCAGCAGCAACAGCAGGCTGCATATTATCAACAGCAGCAACAGCAGATGATGCAGGCACAACAGGTGTGTGTGGCAGGTTTCCTATACTTTGTGTCCCCTCTGGGCCACGTGCCCCCAGCAGGTATCGCAAGTGGCACAAGCTTAGCATGGGGCTCTGGCCAGTGAGATGGGTTCAGGAGGTCCCTTTGGTCTTATTTCTGCTTTGATAGTATCTCAAGCTGCTCCTGTAACTGGGGCCTGATTTGTATAAGCCACTGTACAGTGTCACCTGGTAGAAAGCAGCTTCTGCCCTTTAAGAGTTTGCAGGCAAAGAATAGGAAAGCGAGTGTTGTGGCAGATGGTTAGCCTACAGTGGCATCAACCCCTGCCGCAGAGCCCAAGTGCATTTAAGTATATAGAAAGCTGTCAAAGCTGGGACTCAGCCCAGACATCAAGGATGCTTCATGCTCCTTCAACGTATTCTGCATGTACCTTAATAACCACATGCGGTAGGGCCTGATGTTGGCTGGTCAGTGCATTGGTGGTAGCTAATGCTTGCAGCACTGACACCCACCCAATTTTGAGTATTATTCACCAGGATGGGTTCATCACATCACTTGGCAGAAGTGCCCTTCAACCCAACCCCACTCAGCAGCTGGCCATAAAAATGTTGCTGCTTAATTCATTGAGTATAGAGCATTAGACCATCTGTGAACAGGTTTTTGGCAAATAACTGCTATCAGTTAACCCAGCTGTAGCACAGACTCCTCTGGTGAAGGGCTCACCCACTGAATTCTAAGGGCTGCTTTTTTGCAGCCTAGATGGTTTCCTGAAGGCTCCTTCCAAATCTGCATGTGTTGCTCCAGTCTTGCCTACATGTCTTTTTACCAGCCTACACACATCTGATTATTCTGGCTTGTAAACTGGACCTTCCTGCCCTCCTGTTGTTTAACAGAACAACGTGTGAGGTGGAAGATGCTAAGTTTTGGCTGAGGTTTCTGATGTGAGAGCAGAAGGAAAAGTGATGCATGTTGAAGCTTAGTCCGTGCTGATGCTACTGTTTTTTATCATCACTTGTTATTAACCAATCTTTGACTAATTTCTCGTGAGGTAGGACCCTAGCAGCTGAGCTAAGATTAGGAAGCCCCGCGTGTTGGTAGGCACTGCAGAAATGGAAAAAAGGGAGAGAACTTTACATTTCGAATCATGTCAGCATCTTCAGAATGATCAGCAAGGGGCTGATGGTCCTTTTGGGCTTCCTCTATGGTACAGAACATTGTCCAGACTCTCTTCATGCTGGTAGTTTTGAACACAGAAATTGAGGTCTGGATTTCCCTGGTGAATGCTGTAGTGAGAGAAACAGGTGAAGCTCAGGCATGTTAAGAAACCAAGAACTTGCCTGGATGAGAGACTTGTTGACTGCATTGATGTAATTGCTCTTAATGTTCAAGCTGAGCTTAGAGCAGGTGCTAACACCCTATCCTATGTAGGACAGGAAGGGCTTGAGCTGTTAAAAGGAATGAAGATTTTATATATTCTGAAGAAAGAGACAGAATGCTCTTTAACATCCATGCCAATCAAATGACTAATCGACTCTTAGGAGAGGGAAGCCTTTGTCGAAAGGTGTTGAACAGGTGGGAGTGTTGGATGAAGATCACTGCATGTGTCTTCTGAGAATCCAAACATGGCTCCCAGCCAAGGAGAGGAGAGCAGACTTGATATTCTCAGCCTTATTGAAGGTGGGAGGAAGCAGAAAACTTTTCTAATTTTTCAGCTGCAGGTACCCTTTGCTTAGTAACCTTTTGCGATGACTTGGAAGTCCTTGCAGCTGGCAACTGTGTTACCCATGGCCAGGGTGGTTGCCAGTTCCCAGGACAGCCCTGGCTTTTTGTTATGATCTTGAAGTTGCAAGCTTTGTGGCCAACAGCTCACCAACCACTTATGTCCCAGTTCCCAGTAATACCGCAGGCAGTGCCAGCACAGCAGCAACTGATGCAGAACTATTATCAGCAGCAGCTGATAGCACAGCAAGCCTCCATGCAGCAGAAGACGGCGGTGGCTGCAGTTCAACAAAAACAACAGGCTCCGATGCCCCCTCAGCCCCAGGTGCAGCAAACTGCCACCCAGCCAGCACCTGCCCAGGAACAAGTGGTAAGAGCCAGTAAATTTTTGCAAGCCTTAGGGGATGGTCTGGATGGTGGGGAACGGAAGAAGTGACCTCTGTGGCCTTCCACTAGAGACTTGATGCATTCAGCAAACATGGAGTAAGCTTCAGCGCACCCAGGGTTTTCTGGTTTTGTGTCGAACCCAAGCAGGTGAAGGACTACGGTAACATGTACAGACCACCTGGAATGCCTAAGTGGAGTTGTCAGAGCCAGTATTGTTCTTTACAAGTGATGCTCTTATTTGTCCATAACCCTTTCACTGAGTGAGTACTGGATTCCCCATAGGAGTGACTTGCTAAGTCCTCATCTCCTGTCTAAGATGGGCCTTGGTTGAGGTGAGGGAAGGGAGGAGAGAGATTTTTTTTTTTTTTTTCCCTCTCTGGTAGAGGATACAGCTTACCTGCATTCCAAGGTATGTACTTGCTGCTGTGATAGCACTAGAAATGCACAAAGCAGCTTCTCCATGCCTGGACTGGGAAATTCTCCCTCTGCAGATGCAGGTAAAATGAGACACAGTATTGCAGTGGGTTGAGTAAAAGAAGCGTTGGTGGTTGGGGCACCAATCCAGGGCTAGACCTGGGTTTAATTCCATGCAGGGCTTCCAACTCCTGCATCATCTTGGGCAAGTCCCTCCTCCTCTCTGTGCCTCCTTTTCCTCCACTGCAACATGGGGAAAGTATTGCTGCCCTCTCTCTGAAGGGTGTTTTGTGGATAAATATGTTAGCGGCTGAGACGGATGCTGCCTGTTGACACCTCGGGGGAGTTGGAGCAGAGTCTAGGAGTCCTCACTCTTAGTCCCTTGCTCTGGAAAGCTAGTTGAGCATTGTGACCTAAGCAACAGCCATCAGAGATCCTCACTGACAGCTTTGTTTGGGAAATGTGTGGACAAAGAGAGAACTGCTTACACAGAATTGCTCTCACTCCATGTCCTAGCCCTGGGTTTCTGGGCAAAACTTTCCAAAATTGGCTTCTATTGATGAGAGCCCAGAGTGGCGCCTCAGGTGACCCATGTGCTCTTCTGTTGCTCCAGAGGGCACCAGCTACATATTTCCCAGCTACAAATGGGGCACTGGATGGCCAGGGCTCCCCAGATCCTGCCTTACTCTGGAAAAGTCTCTACCCAAGTGGACTGAACCCTTGACTCGAGAAAAAAGTAGATGCCAAACCAACAGCATACCCACTGAAGTGGACTCTAGTTTTTGCGTGTTCTTTTCCTCTCTGCAGTTGAAAGGAGCTTTTACCTGTTCCTGTATGAAAAATGAATGATCCACTTCACTAATCATTTGTACGTGTGTCCAAAATGAGTGCTCTTTACTTAATGGGAAATATGGCTGGCCTTGCAGCAGGGGAGCAGACAGCTGTCCTCAGTAGTAAAGGCAAGGGAGATGTGCCAGATGGCAGGCTCCTCATTACCAGAATCTCTCTGCAATACTGCGGGGGAGGATTGACACTTTTGCTTTCATTATTGCCCAATCACAGTTACTCTCACCTGTCTTTTGGGCACCTAAGTGCCATCTCTCCGTGTCTCCTTGGGTATGAAAAGGAGGGAAACGCTTGGTTCTCTGCTGTGCTGCATCTGAGGCTGCACATATAAAACAAAAGGCTCTTCTGAGGCTCAGTTTAGCTCCGGGAGAGTTCCTCTGAACCCCAGAGGAATGATACTAGGAATAAATTGAGCCAGTGGATGTCACCTGAGTTACTCAGCATGACTCTGTCTTCCTGGCTTTGATACCTGATTGTTTGGTGATGTTGAGTCGTGTTCTTTCTTGGTCTCCATCTGGGTCTGAGCCTCAGCCAGTTGAAGCCAGGGTGAGTGGCCAGTTTTGGCTGAATTTGCATGGGTTTTGAATTGAGCCTGTTCTCATTCTCCTTTTGGCAGGAGGAAATGCCTTGAGACTGATAGGAAGGTGTCTTCTTAAAGTATCTTTGAGGTTATCCAACAACATGAAAAATACTTTTAATTTTTAAATAAAAAAAGAGACCAGAAATTAGCTCCCCCTTTCCCCACAAAAGTCACCAACATACGCTGAGCTTTTTCTACAGCAACCAGGAGAAAACATTAATTGTCTTTTCTGCAAGAGGAGTGAGACACCTTTTTCTCTGGATCCAGCTGCCTGAGCGTAGAAAGCCAAACCTGGCTCCAGCAAAATGTTTTCATGCTGCATAACTTTCAGTATTAAGAGCCACGCATGTTTCTGCAGAGATTTCAATACAACCCTCTTCCCCTCCACTTCCCTACCCCCAAATGAACGTACCATTTTACTCTGACCTACATAGGAAGAGACATAAGGTGGCTGGGTTAGAAGCAGGTAGGGCGGATCATTTCTCAGCTGTAGTGCAACTGTAGGCTTAAAAATGCAGCAGGGAAAAGAAAGGGCAGGTTAACCCCTGTATTGTCATGTTCCTGTAGTGGTTAAATTCCATGCTGGGCGTGTGATCTTTCTCTTATCACCCTTTTAGGTTTCATCCTCCACGTCTCCTAACTAGTTGAAAGTGTACCGAGATGATGTTGCTTATCTGGAGCAGAGGCAGAATAGGAACACCCAGAGTGCAAAAATAAAATGATAGCTTTCTCCTCACCATGCTCTGCTTTTCCCTTTTGTAAATCTGAGCTGTACTAGGATCACAAATGCACACTGGCAGGGTGACTTGAAAACCAGGTCATCTCAAATCATAGTGTTGTTTAACACTGCAGAATACAATCTTTGGTGCTAGTGCATGTGTCTGTAATTGAATGAATGAGTGAATGGGGGAGTCAGAAAATAAAATTGATTTTGTGAAACGCTTTGAAGTTTCCAAAGGGTTCAGAATTGACCTGTCTTGTCTAATGTGTTGTGTTTATTTCTCCCTCCCCATCCCATCCCCCATCCATGATAATTTACCAAACATTAGCAATTGGCCTTACAACTTTGGACATCCATATGGTGTTCCTTCTTGCTGCTGTTCATGCCTTGGGGAGACTTTGCTACACTGTTCTCACCTCCCTTCTGCCCAAGCCATCTTTATTTCTTCTTCAAGCTGTGCATGCTTCATTGTTCAGTAATGATTAATGGCATTGGTTCCTATTGCTGAGGGTAGCTTTGCAACATGCTGGCTATGTGCTCTGCTACTTGAGTCACAGCTGGCAGCAGTAGTGGGCTCCTGTCTTCTAATGGAGCTGTTCCTGTAGCTGATGCAATAGGTTTGTGGGGTTTGGTACGATAGGTTCTGAGGTGGTTTTTTTTTTCTCTGTCCTGGTTGTGAACCATCTCCTACTCCTTCCCTCCCTGCCTCAGTGCACTGAGGATGCTATTACTCCTTTGGTAACATGCCAGACATAGAGCTTACCTCAGAGTGTCTGTGCAGCAAGTAAGACCTTGTTAGCTTGGATCATATTGGGAGCCCCAATTAGTAGATCAGCGACTGTGACATTTCCCCTGCTCCGTTACTTAGTGTGAGGCCTGTTCCCAGTGATTCTTCACATGCAGCCATTGCATGCACGTGAGTGGCTTACATTTTGGCTTTCCTTCCTAGATGCAGGCACCGATCAGACAACAGCAAAAGCCTCAAACCACCCTACCGTCAGCTGTCCAGGGGCAGAAGGTGGGCTCCCTCACCCCTCCGTCCTCCCCAAAGACACAGCGTGCTGGGCACAGGAGGATCTTAAGCGACGTGACGCACAGTGCCGTTTTTGGGGTGCCAGCCAGCAAATCTACCCAGCTCCTGCAGGCAGCAGCCGCAGAGGCCAGTCTAAACAAGTCCAAGTAGGTGCCTTCGTATCGGGTGTGGAGGGAGGGGTGAGAATTTCTGGCTTTGTGCTGGTGTGAAATGTCCTCTCCCCTTTGACCAGAAAGGGACATTGTCATTCCATTGGGCACCCCAGTCTGCCAAGCCCCCCCAAAACTTTCCCAGAGTTTCCTTCTCCTGGAAGGCAAAAGTCTACCCAAATGCTTCCATTCTCCCCATGTGTGAAGTGACTTCAGATCTCCACTCCACTGCATGTGAAGAATCATTTAGGAGCTTTCCAGGAGCTCAGCACTTGAGCAGATCCTCACGCAAATTGCATGTGTGGCAATGCCTCTCTGAAAAGTGTGCACCACGCGTTGTCCAGGGTGTAGCAGCATTTCCAAAGTCAAGAGGCTGAGATGAGGTATGTGGGCTTCTGTCTTCTAAGGTCAGTTGCACTGCAGCCTTTCAGCCATGCTTCTCTGACCTTGCAGTGGTACTTGCTGCTCTACAGGCAGGTAGAAGGAGTCCATCATAGCATCACTGTGCTCCAACCCATGTGCAGCCTTCTAGGATGTAAGGAGCACTTTTCTCCCTTTGCTGCTTATTTCCCTTTGCTGTTTGGATTGCAAAGTCTTCTGGTCACTCTCAACCCCAGGTGTTGTGGTCCCATGCGGCTCTTTTCTAGAAAGCTTGGTCAGGTGCCTGTTGCTATACATAGAGTTAGTTAGCCACATTAGTCTGAAGTCCAGCAGACTTCAGCCTAATTTTATAGATTGATAGACTGACTATAAAAATAACCATAACACAAAATGTAGTACAAGAGTGCTATTGTAGCTGTGATGGCCCAGAAATGATGCAAGAGGCAAGAACTTTTGTGTGATATCTTTTATTGGACCAACTATGTAGCTGGGACAAAGATAGATAAGTATTTAAATGCAAGAGATTCTTCATCAGGTCTCTGATCACAGGAAGCCTATAATATAAAATAGCTATAAAATATAAGCCTTGCCTATAATATAAAATCCAGTTATTAAATAATAACTCTGAATCAGTTTATAAGGTGCAGCTCTACCCTGTCTGTTGCTCTCAAGTGCATCAAAGACATCACATAGGGGTAGAGAGGCCGCTTGGTATGCTTCAGAAGAAAAGGAACATATACAGTAAGCTTCATTGAATGTATAGGGCTAGAAGGACACCTATGCTTTGTCTAATTTTCTGCATGACACAGGCGGGAGTGTTTTTCAAGCTGACTTCATGGACTATTAATGTATTTTTTGTTTGTGGTGGCTGCAGGTCAGCCTCGACCACACCCTCTGGCTCCCCCAGGACCTCTCAGCAGAATGTTTACAACCCACCAGATGTTTCCACGTGGAACCCATTTGATGATGACAATTTCTCCAAGCTGACGGCCGAGGAGCTGCTGAACAAGGACTTTGCCAAACTGAGTGATGGTAAGCTGCTGAGGGGACTCAGTGTCTGCCAGCTGTTGGCATTGCTGCTAGGTAGAGGTGGGGAGATGGTGATGGTGAGGGAATAAGTATTTAGATAGTTCTTATGAGCTTGAGACCCCACATAACCGATCTGTTTGTCTTGTTCCTTTTTTGGATAGTAAAAGCAAAGTAAAATGGTCAGATCCTCAACAGGCTCCAACTACCGTTGTTCTACTGAGTAGTCTTTACATCAGCTGAGGATTGCCCCTTGCCCTCCAAGTGTCTCTCTCTTTGTGGGGTGCATGACACAACTGCATAAGCCCTTCATAATGTCTTATTCATCTGGTTCTATTGAGCTGTAACCTCTGTGCACCTCTAAGCGCCACTCTCTTTGCAAGTACGAATGCTCAAAAGTCTGCCTGAGAATAGGTGGACCATATTTAAATGGCTTTTTGTTCTTAAGGCATACAACTATGTGTGGTTTAAGGCTCAATGATTTCTGTAGCATCATGTCAGCTACCTTAGATTCTCCAGCCCAAATGACAAACAATCTGTAGGCAGTTAGGTCAGAGTGATCCTTGAACTCGCACCTCTGTATCCATAGCAAAGTTGTCTTAATTGCTCTTT